TATATATATATATATATATATATATACATACACACACATACATACATACACACACACAATGGAGTATTACTGGGCAATCGAAAAGAATGAAATCTTTCCATTTGCAACTATGTGGATGGAACTGGAGGGTATTATGCTAAGCGAAATTAGTCAGAGAAAGACAAATGTCATATGACTTCACTCATATGAGGACTTTAAGATACAAAACAGATGAACATAAGGGAAGGGAAGCAAAAATTGTATAATAACAGGGAAGGGAACAAAAACCTAAGAGACTCTTAAATATGGAGAACAAACAGAGGGTTACTGGCAGGGATGTGGGAGGGGGGGATGGGATAAATGGGTAAGGGGCATTAAGGAATCTACTCCTGAAATCATTGTTGCACTATATGCTAACTAATTTGGATGTAAATTAAAAAAAATAAATTAAAAATTGAAAAAAGGAAAAAAAAATGTTTCCTGGGAGCAAAATCTTTGTGCAGTAATTTCAAATCAAAAATTCTAGTATATCGTTATTAATGAAGTAGTTCTTGAATAATTAAGGAATCCTCTTGACTAGCTTGGTTGATATTTGTTTCTTTAGATATAATTCAGATCATAGTTTCTACTTTTGCCATTTTTGTCTTTTAGCCCTTCAAAGAAAAGAATGCAAAATGCAACCAATACAGCAATTGCTTTAAGTTTTCTCATTTATTTTATATCTGCACTCTTTGGGTACCTCACGTTTTATGGTAAGTATATTATTTAATTATCAGTGACAAATTGTTCTCTAGTTGATCTCACACCTGAATATAGACTTTGTTTCCGCCTTTTGTTAGTAAGTTAATTTAGGCTGCTAAATTCGGTGTAGTACTGTAGTAGCTTTATGGGCCTTAAAAAATTGATTTTCTTTCTCTTAAAAATATGGATCAAGTTCAAGATTAATAACTTCATATAAAAAAATTTTAACACCTAAGTAAAGCCAAAGGCTTAGGGACATTGCTGTCTTTCTACAAGAAACAAATGTGCAATCATGATTTTATTTTCTAAGAATTCAATATTTTGGAATCTAGTTTGGGAGGTTGGGAGAATCAGTCATCTTAATTGCAAAAGAACAACTTGAGAAAGGGAAGAGTTTTACACTGGACTGTAGTTGTACACTTAGATCTCAGAGATCTTTGCCTTCACACTTAATTTGCACAATTTGGCATTGTACGTTCTATGATACCTTTCCCCCCCTTAAATTTGGTAAAAGGATTCTTTTAAATTCTTAAATTTAAAAAAATTAAGTAAATTTTTATTTATTTTTGAAAAATTGTCTGCTTGGAATGTGTTTTTTTTCTGTTCTAAAAAGAACCTAAAGAAAAAGTAAAACTTAAAAGTCCAGAGTAAGAAAAAAAATTGTAGGCTCTTTTGTTTAATCTGGAAACCTATTTAATTTGCAAACAAACCCATTATAACAAATTGCACTCAATTTGTCAATTCTGGAATACACTTTTCAGCTTATGAGTGCTTTTATAACAGCTCTTCAAGTAAATGGCTGTTATTACCCTGGTGATATTTAGCTGTTATGACTGATTTTATGGTTGATAGCCTTGTGCACATGTTTCAGGTTTTAGACATCCATGATTACTTCTAATGGCACTTTGCTTCTCTCCCAGAGTTTTTCCAAGTCTGACAAGTTTTTGGATGTTTACTTGCACAGCTACCTTTACTAAACCAGCTACCTTTCCTAATCCCAGTGGAAAGAGTATGGATTTTGAAATCCAACAAATATGGTACAAATAACTATTCTGCTCTAACTAGCTTGAACAGGACACTCACCTTGTAATCTTTTCATCTTCTAATCTGTAACAGAAAATTGCATAGAGTTTTATTGAGGAGGAAATGAGTTATGTCTAAAATGCCTATTATAGTATCCGGCACATAGCAGCCTTCCACAAAGGAGAGCTACTGCTGATCGTTACTGTTATTATTATTGTCATTATTGTTATAGTCATTTTATAATTTCAGGTGCTCAGTTTTTCAGCACTGTACTTCTCACTATCTTTAATGAAATTTAAGTTAAATATCGTAACTTAATAGTATAATGTGTATGCTCTTGAATTATATGAGAAAATTATAATTGTTCTCTAGTCCCTTTCCTGCTATCTCTATGCTGTTTTAACAGTAAGAAAGGCCATTCATTAATCTAAATCTGCTCTTGCATTTTATATTGATGGAGGATAAAAATGGTAGAGCTCTGTGTACACCATCAGGAAAAGCATCATCTCCAACACGAGTATGACACCCTGCTGGATACACTACAAAGAAAATTAAGGCAGATGGATAAGTTTTTTGATCATGGCTCATAAAACAAAATTCTTGAACTATATAAGCTCTAGCTTTGGTGTTGGGTTTGTAAGTTTTTGCACAGACTTGAGCCCGGTAAGACTTCTCTAGAATAATAAGATACTGTAGCAAGCTCTCTGTTGAGATTGAGCAAAACTTAGTATAGCAGATTAGCTGTGTATTTTTCTTTTTTTTTTTTTTTAAATTTTTTTTTTTTTTTTAACGTTTATTTATTTTTTTTGGGACAGAGAGAGACAGAGCATGAACGGGGGAGGGGCAGAGAGAGAGGGAGACACAGAATCGGAAACAGGCTCCAGGCTCCGAGCCACCAGCCCAGAGCCCGACGCGGGGCTCGAACTCACGGACCGCGAGATCGTGACCTGGCTGAAGTCGGCCGCTTAACCGACTGCGCCACCCAGGCGCCCCTAGCTGTGTATTTTTCTAAATTAAAATTGTCACTGGCGCAAATACTACTATATTTAGGAATCTTCAACATTGAGAAAGAGTCCAAAAAATGACCTCCTTTTCCTCCTTAGGGATAGTTATCTGGAAGAAGCCTCAAATGGCCTGCCAATCTCCAGGATAGCTGAGGAATAGTTATATAAATTGCCATGAAATGCTGTATTAAATTATCAGAAAGCTTACATTGAAGGGAAAGTGGAAGAAGGATGGATGCTAATACATTTATTGAGCTAACGTTTCCTGTGTAAATGCCAGGTATCTTATATACATTGCTTACCTTAATCCTTACAGCAACTCTACAAGGTATAGGTTCACATAGCTTGAGCAATTGGCCAGATACTTGCAGCTAATGAATGATGCATTGGGATTTGAATCCAATTCTGACTGTCTCCAAAGGTAGTGCTTTTATTACTATGTGCCCTCCTCAGGAATTATGCTAGAGAACCCAGATTTCCTTCATCCCAAGTTTTTGTCGATTATCTTTTGGAAGAACCTGGCTCACTTAAGCTCCAGACATATCTATATATCTCTGTCTACTTACCTACCTATCTACTGATCTATTGTTCCATGAACAGAGAGGCGAAACATTTTCATTATGTAAATGAAATATTTCCTACACAGGGATTGTCCTTGTTATCAGGTAAAGCTGTTATGTTGTCTCCGACTTAATGCACCGCAAATTCTTCAGACTGTCCACATTTTATCTAATGGAGAAATGCACATCTAAGAAAAATCTCATTGTAGGTAGGTGATAGAAAGAATGATATAAAAGTAACTCCTTCTCCAAAGACCAAAGAAGATTCAGATATTGATTTTTCTGTTCACAATAGCTTTTGGGGGGCTGTTAATCATCACTAAGGAGCATCTTTTTTGGTATATTTCTGTTGAGATATCGGTAACTCTCATTCTTATGGAGAGAAATCACTGAGCAATTATCAAAAGGGCTAGTCACAAATTAAGGCCTTGAACTCATTTTGTAAATGAGCAGCTGAAGCCCAAAGAAGTGAAGTGACCTGTTAACAATATTTGTAGTAGCATGTCTCCTGAATACTAATCTAGTAATCTTTCTGCTACTCTGTGGTAATCTTTCTAAACTTCAGATGGTTTGACAATGTGTATTACACAAGACAGCCTCCTGGCTTAATAGCATATATAACTTGCAGAGGTCCTTGCTAAGATTTATAGAGATTTGTCTGAATTCAGAGAAGTGTGTTGTACTCTATCCCTCACATATGTTAAGAACACAGAATTGACTGGTTCGGAAGAAATGTTTTCATCCTGGGAAAGGAGAAAGTGGATATGTAACAGATATTTTGAATTTATAATCTAGCTCTTCTGACTTCTGGAGCTGCTTGGGATCCTTTTATCCAGTGCTCCCAAGGCTTAGTTAATATCTAAATTTTGTCAGATTACAGGGACCTATAAGTATGTACCTAGATTAATAATATTGGCTCTTTACAGACGTTACGGCATTATAAGGTGAGGAAGAAAAAGTGTTCCTCTGGGGAGCCAGGCCAATGCCCAAATGTCGCATAATAACCAGACCATTTTAAAAGTCTACAGAATTGTTAAGCAGTGTTAATAGCTCATTTTCATGATTCAAAAAGTAGAAAGAAAATAGTTTGCCATATTTTTTCAAAGACTTGCGAATATCTCAGACTTGGAAATAGAATCCGGCTTTCCTGGCTCTTCTTAATCTCTTACTTAGTCCATTAATCTCCTATTGTGTAAAGAAGTTGTTTGATACGTTAGATAATTGGTTTTTCTCCCTTTTCCATTATCACTAGTCTAGTTCAGATTCTCATTATCTCTCAGTGATTATGACAGTAACCTTCTAACTCTTATTTCAGTTTTGGGTATCTTTTTCTTCCTGCTTGGTTCAGATCCTAGTACACCAATCTTCATAAGTCATTGCATCTCTGTAGCCCACCAGATTGAGTACAAACCTCCTGAACAGCTCTGTTACTGGGTCTTAAATGCATTTCTGGCCTTATCACCCAATACTCTCTCTGCTCTACAGCACATCCTGTTTAAGCCACTGTAAGTACTTACTACTACTAGACTGCTCATTTTCTCAGATGCATATTCTCTGTGCTACTTCAGGGCTTCTGCTTATGTTACTTCTTCCTCTGAGAAAGAATCTCTTTCTCCACCCATACATTAACTCATTTATGGCCCTCAGTAACTCCACACATCAAAATATTAGTGTCCCATTTTACAGATGTAAGAACGAAGAGACTCAGAGAAGTTAGGTTGCTAGTAAGTAGAGGAATTTGAACATCAGTCTGTGTGGTCCCAGAATTCAAGACCCTCTACCTTCCTGCTCTTCACTCTATCATGATGACTCTCCCCAAGCCTCCCTGTGTTTCCTCCTTCCTCCATATCAAAGTCATAGTTACCTGTCCCTATTCACAGTCGCTCTTTGTTTAGAACAACTACTGCCACGTACGTGTATATCTGTGTTTATACGCTTTCTATTTTATGTGTATATGTTCATCTCATTGCTCCTTTAAATATTAAGTTCCTTGAAAACAGAGGTGTGTTTGTTTTTTATTTCCTCCAAAGCATCTCTCTGAAAACATATTACTCTCCAGTTTAAAAAGCACCGTCTATTTTGGGGCACCCGAGTGGCTCAGTTGGTTAAGAACCCAACTCTTGATCTAAGTTCAGGTCTTGACCTCAGGGTCATGAGTTCAAGCTCCGCGTAGGGCTCCACACTGGGCGTGAAGCCTACTTAAAAATAAAAGACAGTATTCTATTTTAAGTACAGACTGATCTTTCACTACAAGGCAGGACATGGAACGTTCTTGAGAACGCTCAATCTTCGTACCCCTCGTCTGACTGGGGGCGCAGAAGACATTGGGAAAATGGAAGACTGACATGGAGCAAAGCATGGTCAGCATGTACAAATTCTGTCACTGACTACCACTGGCTTGCTGAGTAAGCCATTTCCCTACAACTACATTTTCTTATGAAAGAGGAATTTACAGGTGAAATGTTGATGAAACAGACAACATGTACAGAAGTGTAAGATTCTAGAAAATGTTGCGGTATTGAGGAAAGGGTATTGGCTTTGGCACCAAAAAAAAAAGTGGGTACTCTTTTAGCTCTTCGAGCTCTGCCCCTTTGTGCTGTGTGATCTTGGGCAAGTCCATTAATATTTTTCAGCCTAGCTACCCTCTTAATTGTTATAAGGGTACACATGATACCCTTTCAATGATACATGTGAAAACACCTTACAAAACAAACAAATGTTCAAGACCTTTGGATTATGGAAAAGTTCTCAAGTTATATGTATATATATAGATATATATAGATATGTATACGTATATATGTATTTTCATGGTCATAATTTTAGAAGTTCTGCTGATTTCTAGTTTAATTAAAAGAAAAGATTATACCTTTAAAGCAGATATTTAACTAATGTCTCTATGTTTCAAAGGCTAGGGAAAAGGCCAGAGATGGATTTGGTACTGAGAATCCAAAATTTGTTAAGATCCATTTGTGCAAAGTAAAATAGTTTTGCTGTTATTGACATCATAGTAGTTTATAATGTGATCCTTATTATTGTTTTAATTTACAGACAAAGTGGCATCAGAATTACTGCAAGGTTATAGCAAGTACTTGCCACACGATGTTGTTGTCATGGCTGTGAAGCTATGCATACTATTTGCTGTGCTTTTGACAGTCCCTCTAATCCACTTCCCTGTAAGTACTCTTAAAGGTCTTGTTGCTTAATGTAGCAGCTCCCTGATATGGCAACGCTAATTCTTTGCAGACTGGAATGTTTGAATCACATCTAGTCTTGTATATCTTATTCATTTGTCAGGTAATTGATCAAAGACCTCATACTTGCATATGGCCCCATGAAGGCACAAAAATAACAGTGAACCACTAAGCTAATTTGTGCTTTTTGAGATTTAGTTTAGATTTACGCTCTCCCACAGCATTGTTTCCAATTTAGAGACTATGGTTCTTCTAAAGTTTGGGGTTTCCCCCCCTCCTTTAATTCTGTGTTCTGTTTTCACAAGAATGTGCATGAAGAAGCAAAAGTCAAGTCAGCAAAAATAAGCTCGTTCTGGTTTATTGTAGATTTATTTTCACATAGACATTCTAATTTAATCTTAGTCAAAATATTGTATTTGCTTGAGAATTATAATTAAGGGGCAGAACAGATCTTCATTCTGTATTTAGTTGCCATATGTAAGAATCTTAAGAATTTCTGAGAAAATGGAAACAGAGGCTTGAGGTATGAATGTTTCTGCATGAATGTCTTGAATCCCTCAACAGCAAGTTCCCGAAGAACTGGGCCTTCAAGATTTTTGGCCCACTTCCTGTGTAGACTGCACAGCCAGGAGGGCAGCGGTGGGGGGTAAACATTTGTGGGGTATGACTGCCTGCTGCTCGCCTTGGCAGTGGGAAGTGTCATGAACTAGTTTTCATATTTACATGCTATGAAACAGATAATATAAAATAAAATAGTACATGGTGTTTCTTTACCATAGCATGAGTCTTTTTTCTTTTCAAACCTTTTGTTCTTCTCTCTGTGAGTTTAATGAAAATGATTCTCTGAGATTTCATCACACAGTGTTATCGTTGGTCATTTTGAAAATTATGCAACCTAAAGACATTGAATGTGAACATTTCTTCAAGAATTAAAGCAAAATAATTTTTTTTTAATTTTTTTTTAACGTTTTATTTATTTTTGAGACAGAGAGAGACAGAGCATGAACGGGGGAGGGGCAGAGAGAGAGGGAGACACAGAATCGGAAACAGGCTCCAGGCTCTGAGCCATCAGCCCAGAGCCCGACGCAGGGCTCGAACTCACGGACCGCGAGATCGTGACCTGAGCTGAAGTCGGCCGCTTAACCGACTGAGCCACCCAGGCCAAAATAATTTTTATTAAGCTCACTCAGAAAGGTGTATTTCTTAGTTGATTTGTCCTAAACACTTTATAATAATCGTTTATACTGTATTTTTTAAAAATCTAAATGGTGTAGGGATGTCATGCTTACTATACTGTACCTGTGTTTCCCTAAGCAAGTATGTTGGCTTTGCTTAAATCTCTCTGCTTAAATCTGTTTCTTTTTCTGTTATACAGGCAAGAAGAGCTTTAATGATGATGTTTTTCTCCAATTTTCCATTCTCATGGACTCGCCATTCTTTGATCACTCTAGCACTCAATGTTACCATTGTTTTACTCGCAATATATGTTCCTGACATTAGGAATATATTTGGTGTGGTTGGTAAGTTTTCTATTTCAAAAAATCCATGTAACAAAATAGATCAAAATTGTCATCCGGCCCCACATCTGAATCTGGCAATATCCTCTTTTTTTTTTCTTGTTTCCCCTCCCACTTAAAGGTTCCAGTACATCAACGTGTTTGATTTTTATATTCCCAGGACTATTTTATCTTAAACTTAGCAGAGAGGATTTTCTCTCATGGAAGAAACTTGGGGTAGGTTACCTTTTATTTCTTTTAATAATTCTATTTTAAGAAATAATTTGTCATTTTGTACTTGAGTAGTTTATCTACATCAAGAAAGTTCATGTATTTTGAACTATAACATACATTATTGAGGAAGGTGGAGGTTTAAAATACTCTAATTGTTCTTTATCTTTTTTTTCCCCACAGGCTTTTGTTTTGCTCATCTTTGGAATTTTGGTTGGGAATTTTAGTTTAGCAATAATCATTTTTAATTGGATTAGTAAATGAAACAAATATTTTCCCACTTCTTACAAAGAATAATTTACCTCTATATGCAAAAAGGAATAATTCTGTAAAGCACCTTTGATGAATCCTTTTTATATGGGTAAACATTTTTATAAACATTATTAACAGAAAAGCAGAACAAAATGGGAATAGGTAGCGGAAAGTGGATTTATAGCAGTTTTAATTAACATAAAATTCAAAATGTTCTTTGATATGTTAGGTCAACCTTTGTATTTTTTTAAAAATTAATAGACTTTATTTTTTAGGGTAGATTTAATGTTTACAGAAACATTGAGCAGAAGGTACAGAGTTCTCATATATCCCCTGATCCCCAACACACCCATAGTTTCCCATATTGTTGAAATCTTGCATTCATGTGGTGCATTTGTTATACTTGATGAGCCAATATTGATACAGTACTTGTAAAACATTTTTTAAGTCTGTTGATTTTGAGAGAGAGCAAGAACATGAGCAAGGGAGGAGCAGAGAGAGAGAGAGAGAGAGAGAAAGAATATCAAGCAGGCTCCGCACTGGCAGCACAGAGCCTGACACGGAGCTGGAACTCACAAACCAGGAGATCATGACCTGAGCCAACATCAAGAGTCAGACACTTAACCGACTGAGCCACCCGGCTACCCCTTGATACAGTATTATTTACTAAAGTACATAGTTTGCCTGAGAGTTCACTGTTGATGCAAGCATTGGCAACCACTGATCTTTTGACTGACTTCATAAAAACTGTGAGCCTTTCCCTGTGAGCCTTTTCTAGGATGTCATATAGTTGGAATTATATATTATCTAACCTTTCAGGCTGGCTCTTTCACTTAAACAAAATGCAGTTAAGTTTCCTCCATGCATTTTCATATAGCTCATTTCTTTTTATTATTGAATAATATTCCACTGTATGGATGGGCCAGTTTGTGTTTTCATTCACCTGTTGAAGGACCTCTTCCTGGCTTTCAAAGTTATGAATAAAGTGTGTACAGGTTTTTGTGTGGATATAAGTTTCAGCTTTTTTGGGTTAATACCAAAGAGCACAATTGCTGCATCATACGGTAAAAATATGTTTAGTCTTATAAGAAACTGCCAAACTGCCTTCCAAACTAGCTGTAATAGATTACATTTCTGACAGCAGTGAATGAGAGTTCCTGTTGTTCCATATTCTCGCCAACATTTGGTGTTGTCAGTGGTTTGGATTTTTGCCATTCTAATGGGTGTGTAGTTATATCTCATTGTTTCAATTTGCATTTCCCTAATGACATAATGATGTGGAGCATCTTTTCATATCCTTATTTGCCATCTGTATATTTTCTTGGGTGAGGTTTGGATCTTTTGCCCATTTTTTAAATTGGTTTATTTTCTCACTGTTGGCTTTTAAGCATTCTTTGTATATTTTAGATACCAGTCCTTTATCAGATAATGTGTTTTGCAAAAATTCTCTCCCAATCGGTGGCTTGCCTTCTCGTTCTCTTAACAGTGTTTATCACAGGCAGAAGTTTTTAGTGTTATTAAATGTATAGAGTCAATCTTTCATTTGTTTGTTTTTTAAGAAATCAGTGTATTGGCTTTATATACAAAATTGAATCTTAGCTGTGGGTTAATGTTGTCAACATCAATCACTAATAACAAAACTGTGGGATTATTTCATTTGGTCTTTTGCCCTGCCTCCCAATCTTCTCTAAGAAACTTTTGTGATTTTCCTGTTGTTCATTATGACATAGAGCTGTGATGATTGACTGTGGATTTGGAAGTTCTCTGAGCTTTCTCTTTTGTCACTTAAACACGTGACTTTCTAGTTGGCAAACAGAGACAAATAGTGACGATTTATATCAAGTTTTGTGCAGAGGTTATAAATCATTGTTTCCCATTGATGTGGCTTACTTTTGGTTGGAAAGCACAAGCTAGATCTCTTCTCCCCACGAGTGCTCTTTGTGAAAGGCACCTTGTTAGCAGCCTACCAAAGCCAGGGTGTATCGGTGAAAATGTAATGCTACCCCTGTGCACATGTAAAGTAGGGGATTGCATGCAAAGCACCAATTTGCATGAATGGAAATACACACTTTTGCAGGTGCCCCTTTGCTTCCTGCTTAGGAAATGGGCAGAAAAATTGACAACTGAGCTTCCCTTTTGAGTTAAGATATTTCTTTGGCAACTTTGGATCAGCATAGTATAATGGAAAAAGTCTAAGTTTGAGGGTTAGAAAGACTTAGATTCAAATCTCAGTGAGTTTAGACAAAGTACTTAACCTCTCCAAGCCTCCACTTTCATATAGGTATTAAATGGAGTTAATACCAATTATACAGGGTTGTGTTGAGAGGATTAAATGACCCTGTATAAATTAGGTGCAGACCAAAACAGGCTCTTAGATCAGATACTTATCCCCTTTCCCCCATCCCTTCATCTGGACCAGTAAAATAAGTTTGCTTTCAATCAGAGACAGGGAATTTCTTCGTCTTCCATCTTGTACAACTAATATGTTTAGAATCTTTCTCTAGCCTTCATTCACAGGGGAACTGGCCCCATGTGCACTCTTTTTCATGTTTTGCCACAGTTCTGCCCCAGCTGTGCTCTCCTACTAATGTCTTCCTGAAGCTGGGCACTTAGCATGGTCCCAGGGGCACAGCCAGGCATGGCTTCCCCTGTGGCTTCAGGTCAGCCAGAGCCTACCAATCTGATAAGCTAATTCTTGTACCCTCTTTTTCTGTTTATGAAATTATAGATCCAAACACAAATAGGTGTTCAGCTGCTTACATAAATCTAATTCCAGTAATACCAAAATAACACTAAATCTGCAACAGATGCAAGGATGCCCTGTGGGGCAAATGTTAAATGTGATGACAGCTGGGCATCAGTTAATACATTTGTCACCTGCTCATGGGATAGGATCATGAGAGGTTTGGCAAAGGGACAAGTAACATATTGAACATAAAACTTAGTTAATATCAAGAGATAATATTTGTGGAAGTGTTTTTCTTTTATTTTACTTCAATATTCTGCCTTATCTGGTTGCCTCTTCGGGGTCACAGCTTTCTCTATGAGTGTGGAGGAAGCTAATAAGATGGCAGGTAAGAGCAGTGTCCCCTTCACTAGGATTACCAAAAACCCTTGTTCAAGTACTCCGCAACATTATTCCTGGGAAATATAGGCCCTCGCATTATGGGCTTAACGTTCATAATTTATTAGGTAAGAACTTTTTAAAATAAAACTAAGTAAAGTACAAAATATATACTTTTCTAACACTTGGAGACTTGTTTGCTAAATTAAAAAACGAAGTGCTGAGAATATAAATTACTTTCGTATGTTGAAGGTGAATGTTTAAATTGTACCTTTTTTTTTAACGGAATGTTTACTCATGAGCTTAGCATTTAAATGGTTAAAACAAGCCTTTGAAGTTAACACTCCATTAAGATGAATGGGGGTAATTCACACCTCTGCTGGTGCTGTATTATTTCAGTCTGGCTGCGGAGAAAACAAGACGGGAGTAGGTTGATTTACTGTGTGAAGGCCCTTTAAACACCCAAGGTCTGGAAATCTTTGTGGGTTTTTTTTGCCTTTCCATCTAGAAGCAGAATCTGAAATTCAGCACAATCTGGGTATAGACCTGGTCTTGAAAGTACCATACATTCTCTACTGTGGCAATTCCTAACTCGCATTTGATGGGTAGCTTGTTACCAGATCAGCCCAACCTCTCTGGCTTTGTTTGTTCCTTTGTTCCTTCTCCCGTGACACCTTTTAAATTTAAGTTTGGTACCTTGGTAAATTCACCAATGGAAAAGCAGAAGCATACCATCCATTTTCAGGTAAACTTTACACATGCCTTTAAATGGTTATCAGCTAATCACGGGCCTTCTTGTGCTTCTAAAAACATTTTTACCTTTGCAAAATCTCATCTTCTTTATTTGCCTGTATATAAACCTGTAAGACCGTTTTTCTTCTCCCCTGTTTGGGGGGTGATCTCTGATGTGAGCAGAGATCAGCTAGGAAAGATTCATTTCTTTCTCCATGTGACCTTTGGCACCAGTACTCTTCTGTATTTGAAATGTGTACCCCCCCCATCCCCCGCCATTTGTGGAAGTGCTATAGCCATCTGACTCTGAAACATTTTAGAGCCTAGGAATAAGGTTATGTGGGCACAAATGAAATGGCGAGCACTGTATGAGATGTTAATGAATTTGGAAGATCTCTTTTTAAGGTAAACGGATTTTTCTCTTCTCCATTCTTGCCCTGTGTATTTGCCGGATCAGGTTACTAGATAATCTGTGGGTAGCTGGGTGTGGGGTCTCTCGTGCTGACAGTGCCAGTAGAATATATAGAGATGGAAAATAGATGCTAGAAACAAAAGGACTCGAACAGTTAATTTTAACCTGATTTTCTTCTTGGCATGTTGACAGTACTCTCTCTGACTTTATTAGAATTAGCCCTATTGAAAAAAGACTGTGTTTCCTGCCAATTACTTTGCCTAAAACTTAGGTGTCATAATTTTTGGTCTTAGAACTTCTCAGAACCTGATATAGTACTGAAACAATTGTTTTTCTAATTTAAGCACACAATTTGTTCATTTTTCTACATTATCCTCCTGTAGTCTTCCCTTAATGAAGAGGGAAAAATAAGAAAACAAAATTTTGGTGAAGGATAAGTAAAGATATTGTGGATATGGCTTCCTCATTACAATCACTCTTCCTGAACAATCTGATCTATGTTTTTACTATCATGATCCACTGTCCTAGTTTGTGAGGCTGTCCATCAAGATGAGCACTTATGAGGAGCAGGAAGACTCATCTTGCCTGGTGGCCAGGGGGACAAGTTTTTTCGCCTGTGTGACAAAGGAAAGGGGCAGAGAGGGAAATTGAGTTGCCAGGGGAAAAAAAGACAAGTGGATGAAAAGGCATTGTCATATGGGATGGTATAAAGAAACAAGACCTCCAGAGAAATGTTTCTCACTGTTTGAATTTGTGTGTGTTTTGTCTTCTACTGATCAGTGGATCAATGCACAACACAGGCAA